CTGCAGAAAGGAAAACAAAAGACTAACAGGTACAGTTATGAGGCCAGAAATGCCCAGACAACAGCAAGACCAGAGAAGGTATAGCTAGATTTGTCTGTTCATTACTAAATCTTTCATCAAAATATTTAAAATGATGATCTTTTTCTAAACTAAACATGTTTATTAACTAACCTATGCAATTGGAAGGGTATCCAAAAGAACTGTCAAAAATCTAACATCTGGGGACCAGCAGATGGCATGATGGTTATGTTGCTGGACTCTCACATAGTCAACTACAGTTTGAATCCCAGACCTGGCAGCTTAAACTCACTCCAGGCTCATGTGCCTGCATCCCCAAGATCCCGAGAGAATGGAGGAGAAAGAGCTGTAGCATGGCCATCCCCCCTGGGGGGGGAGGGGTGTGTGTGACTTCTGTCTTTCCAGTGAGTGCATGCACACTATAGCAAAAACCTCTCAAAACAAAACAAACAGAAATTATTACCTGACAAAGATTCTTCCTCCAAGATACCTTTTAGAACATGAACTATTAATTTTTTTTTTTTTGAGAGGTTTTTGCTACAGGGCACATGTGGTCCCCAGAAAGACAGAGTGAGACAGAGAGACAGAAAGTGAGAGATCACCCCCCAGGGGGGATGACCACGCTGCAATCCCTTCTCCTCCATCCTCCTCTGGGGATCTTGGGCACACACGCACCCGGTGTGAGTTTAAGCCACTGGGTCAGGGACTCAAACTGCAGTCAACTACACGGGAGTCCAGTGACATAGCCATCACACCAACTGCTGGTCCCAGAACATGAACTATTACTATAACTCATCACTACAGTTTGATGAGTTTTCATTCTGCACAAGCCAGCAGTCCAGGCGTCTTCTCCCTGCCCTTCACATCCCATGCCAGAGGTGTCCAGTCAAAAAATGACTCATTCTAAAGAAAATATTTGTCAATAAATCTCTTTATTTTTCAAACAGGGTTTTGGGAAGTGTCACTTGAAGTTTGATATTCAAATATAACCACAGATACCAAATCCTGTTAAAACAAACCTATACAAATAAATTTCAAGCGGCTGCAGATAGCATGGTGGTAAAGGTGCTCTACTCTTACATGGCTGACCAACTTGCTTTCTCACTTTCTCTCTCTCTGGTCAAATTAAAATAAGTAAATATATTTTATAAAGAAAAAAGTATTTCCAATGAAAGGCCATTCTTACACAACCACTAAAGACAACATAAAATTCTAATAACACAGACATTTTAATGGTTTTACAATTTCAGACTCTAAGTTGGATGGTCTACTACCAAATATAAATGTGATTTCACACTAAAGCTTTAAGACTGTGACTATCGGGACCAGCAGTTAGCGTAATGGCTATGTCGCTGGACTGCCACATAGTCGACCGCGGTTCGCATCCCAGACCCGGTGGCTTAAAACTCACGCCGGGTGAGTGTGCGTGCGTGCCCAAGATCCCGAGAGGAGAATGGAGGAGAAGGGATTGCGGCATGACCATCCCCCCCCGGGGGGTGATTTCTTGCTTTCTATCTCTCTGTCTCTCTCTGTCTGTCTGGCAGCAAGTGCACGCGCCCTGTAGCAAAAACCTCTAAAAAAAAAAAAATTTAAGACTGTGACTATCACTGGCATCACTCAAAACTCTCAAAAGCTACTTTGTATTACGGGTCAACAAGTAAGTTGATTTTTTTTTTTTTTTTTTGGAGAGGTTGTTGCTATAGCGTGCGTGCGCTCATCAGAGAGAGAGAGAGAGACAGAGAGATAGCAAGCAAGAAATCACCCCCCGGGGGGGGATGGTCATGCCGCAATCCCTTCTCCTCCATTCTCCTCTCAGGATCTTGGGCACGCACGCACACTCACCCGGCGTGAGTTTTAAGCCACCGGGTCTGGGACGCGAACCGCGGTCGACTATGTGGCAGTCCAGCGACATAGCCATTACGCTAACTGCTGGTCCCAACAAGTTTTATGAGGCAAGGGCTCCTCTCATGCTGGGCCAGAGCACTGGGGACTGTCTGCCCTCCTCTTACCCTCTTCGCACACTCCCGTCCACCTGGCAAGCACTAAGTTGGGGGAAAAGGGGTGAGGCACACAGAGGAAGCCCAGCTTGTAGAGGGACTATCAAAATCTAAATGCTCAAACAGCTCTGCAACATGAGGCATGATTATAAAATAACATCAAACAGATCAGCAAGTGGTGTGGTGGTTGGGTACTAGACTCTCACATAGCCAACTGCAGTTTGAGTCCCGGACCTGATGGCTTACTTTCTCACTTTCGTTCTCTTTCTCTTTCTCTGATGAATGCATGTGTCCTATAGCAAATTAAAAACAAATTAATTAAATTATGTTTTAAAAAACACCAAAAAATATATAAAATTGAAATCTTAAATTAAGTGAGAAATGTATAGATTATAAAATGCATGGGGACCAGCAGTTGGTATAATGGCTATATTGCTGGACTCCCATTTAGTTGACCAAGGTTTGAGTCTCGGACCCAGTGGCTTAAACTCACGCCAAGCACATGAGCGTGTGTGCCCAAGATCCTGAGGGGAAAATGGAGAAGCAGGGATTGTGGTGTGGCCATCCCCCTGGGGGGTTATTTCTCACTTTCTGTCTCTCTGCTTCTCTTTCTGGAGAGTTCACACACCCTATAGCAAAAACCTCTCAAACAAACAAACAAAATACATGAAGACATACAGTAATACCAACTAAAAATACAACACAAAATAGCTTAACTGATTAACATGTAAAGATACATGCATATAAAGAGCCCAAATCAAAAATGGGCAAAGGACTTAGACATTCTTCCAAAGATATAGAAATAGCCAATGAACATGTAAAAGATGGTCAACATCACGAATCATTAGGAAAATGCACATCAAAACGTAAGACACTACCTCGAGCTCATTAGGATGGCTCCTGCCACAAATAATAATATTAATAACATGCTGGTGATGATGAGGAAAAATCAGAACTTTTGTGTATGTTGGTGGGACTGTAAAATGGTGTAGCCACTGTGGTAGTTGCTCAAAAAATTAAACACAGAATTACTGTATGACCCAACAATTCCACTTCTGGCTCTATACACCAAAGAGTTGAAAACTCGGTCTCAGGGCCAGCAGGTGGCATGGTGGTTAAAGGCACTGGATTCCCACATGGCTGACTATGGTTCAAGTCCCAGACCTGGTTGCTTGCTTTCTCCTTTTCCTTTTCTCTCTCTCTGGTCAAATTAAAAATAATAACAAATGGAATTAAATAAATAATTATTTTAAAATAAAACTGGGTCTCTTGGGACCAGAAGATGGTGTAACGGCTATGTCCCTGGACTCCCACATGGTCGACCGCAGTTGGAGTCCTGGACCCAGTGGTTTAAATTCACACCAGGCACGTGTGCGTGCGTGCCCAAGATCCCGAGAGGAGAATGGAGAAGGGATTGCGGTGTGGCTATCACCCCTGAGGGGTGATTTCTTGCTTTCTGTCTCTTTATCTCTCTCTGTCTTTCTGGAGAGCACAAGTGCCCTATAGCAAAAATCTCTCAAAATAAATAAATAAATAAATAAATAAATAAAATTGGGTCTCAAAGTGATATTTGTACACCCATCTTCATGGCCACATTATTCACAACAACCAAAGGGTAGCAGGAACTCAAGATTGTCCATCCAAGAATGGATGTGGTATATTCATACAATGTAATTATTAGCCTCAAAGAGGAAATACTGGCACACACTATAACATGGCTGAAATTTGCTAAATGAAATGAGGACATTATGCTAAGTAAGTCAATCACAAAAAGATACCATATGATTCCAGTTCTGTAAGATACCTACAGTAGTCAAATTCAGAGCATGGAGAGTATAGTGGCCATTGCCAGGGAATGGAGAAATGATGAACAGAGTTACTATTTAATGGAAACAGAGTTTTAGTTTTACAAGAGGAAAAGAATCTGGAGATGTATGGTGGCTGATTGTTACTAAAATACATGAATGAGCTTAATACCACTGAACCTACAAGTACAAATGGTTAAGATGATAAATTTTGTGCATTTTACCACAATACAGAAGTTGGGGAAAAGTATGCATAAACATATAACTAAATATACAAGAATGTAAAAAGTTTAACAACAGTTAAATTCCTAAATTATTTTATTTCTTAGTTTTTGCTATAGGGCACACATGCTTGCCATATAGACACAGAGACAGAGAGAAAGTAAGAAATCACTATCCAGGGGAATGGCCATGATGCAACCCCTCCTCCTTCACTCTCTTCTCGAGATTTTGGGCACACGGGCGCGTGTACACACACGTGCCTAGGGTGTTTCTCAAGTTGCCAGGTCCAGGACTCAAACCACGCAGCCACCTCTTGGCCCAAATTCTTAATTTTTTTTAATGCCCCCCCCCAAAAAAAAGCAAACTTTCATAAAGTGTCTCAGATGACATATACAAAATATATAGGAAGCTTACCAAGCTCTAAATCCTTAATTTGAAAGACTATTCTGGAATTTGAAATCACCGTGCCTCCCAATCCACAGCCCCTTCTGAATGACCCAGCCCCAAAGGAAGGTCTTATAGAGAGAGAGCACTATGCAAATGGCAGAAGCCTGTCCCTGCCAACCCCAACCGACTCTGTGCCCTGGACCAGGCAGCACCACAGTCTCCAGAGGCCAGGCTAGCCCATAACCTGGGTCAGTGCCTATGAAGTGGTACACAGGGCAAGAGCTGAAGTGCACACTGGGACAGCAGACACAGCTGGGGACTGAAAGGCTGCCAGGCAGAGCTGGGTGAACCCACACTGGGAGAGATGGTGCGGTGGAGACAAGTGCGCAACATAGACAGTGCGGAGCAGTAGTCAACTTAACAGAGAAGGCAAGACTCTGGCGTACAGCTGGACTTTGCAGGGGTCCACACTACTATTCTAAGTGCCCAGAGGCCTACCGAGCTGGTGGTCCCAGGGATGCCACGAGATTCCTGTTTTTCTTCTTGCTGCTTGGCCCTAAACCCCACATACCTGAAGTCAGCTGCCCCCTGCCTTCCTGAGAACCTGATGGAATAGCCCATCATCCCAGAGTCAGTCACAGCCACATGTGGTGGAATCAGTACTTCCAGCAGACCCCCAGCTGCTGCACCTGTGGACAGCATGTGTCTTGATGAAACGTGGGCCAAACGGGTGATGACACTGCCCTGAGCAGAACACTCTCCCTCCCCAACAGGGAACACCAACAAGCAGCTCATCCAGACAAGGGAAGGCTGGTGCTTGACCCAGCAGCAGGCTGACCAGGCCATATCACTCTAGAGACACACGGCACAAAACAAATCTCGGCCAGCTAGGTGCTGTGGTAGCTAAGGTGGCTGGATCCCACATAGCTGACAGCATGGTTCAAGGACCCAGGTCTGGGGCTTGAAAAACACACCCTATTTGCTATAGGGTGCAGTTCCCAAATCCTGAGAGAATGGAGAAGAGACTGCAGCATGGTCATCCCCCTTGAGGAGTACTTTTTTTCACTTTATCTCTGTATGTGTGCATGTCCGTGTGCACCTAGTTTCTAGCGATTACATGAACTCTACAGCAAGTTTTTAAGGAGAGAGAAAACAAATCCAAAATATTTACTACTAACTCCCAGGCCCTCAGTCTCTCAATCTGGTAGGTTAGTGGTTTTTCCCAAAGAAATCTTAAATGGCATTAAGAAGCTACTGTGTCTCCCTTCCAAGTCCCTGAGGTGTATCCTCAAAACCACAGACTTAAGGGAACTGGGACTTTTAAACCACATGTCAGACAACACATTTACTATAACACCATGCTGCCTTCTGTGTGAACTTCCCAGAAACAACAAAACCGGCAGGGGCTGACAAATCCACACTCGGGGCTAGCTACCCTGTGCTCAGAGCAGCGGCAGGCAGGCTGCTCTGAGCACCCTCAGTGGCAGGGGAGCCAAGAGCCTGAGGCTGTCTGCAGCCCAGTCTGGGGACTCTCTCCACCTGTGATCCTGCTTCTCTGCCCCTATACAGCTACTTGAACTTCTGCACTGAACATTTCCTGCGCCTTCACTTTACACGGGATATCACTTATCCACCTGATGCAGCCCAGCTGGAGGGAGACCTCACATCTCAACTGGCTGTGGCTACTTTCCTCGTAAGTTGCTCTAGCTTCTGTTTTCCTGTCACCTTGGTCATCTATATAATCATGACAGGGAAAAAGGACACCAATATATTTGTACTGAGGGATAGGCTGAGTGTGAAGAAGTTCTGAACTTGGAGTCTGTAAACCTGAATAAGAAACCATCAGATTTTAATTTTCTGTAACTTCAACGGAAATGAATGAAAGCAGACAGAAGCCCAGGAGTGTGAGCAGGAGGACCAGTGACAAGTATTTTTGCCAAGCATTAAAGTTGTCACAGAAATCTCTCACCACCACTCCTAGAGCGAATTACCAGAGGCCCTGCTTAATCTGGTTATTAAGTAAGCTACTAAAGGAGCTGTATGAGACTCTAGCACCACTGGGTTCAATATATTATAACTGTATTTCAATATAATGGGTTCTCTTCTTACTCCATTTTAAGATGAAGCCAGGAGGGTACTAGAAAGTTAAGATTCCCTCTATATTTCCCATCACTTTGGCAGTTTATTTAAGTACAGTTGCTGATACTTTTAACAATCTGCAACACAAATGAAAGAATACAGTGTTACCACTCATACTAAATGCCTTTCCACAGTACTTCTACTCTTCACAAGCAGTACTTCTTTCTGTACAGCCACAATGGAATGCCAGAGAAATGGACACGTAAACCAGCACTGACTCTTACATCAGCTATGCAAGGACTGACAATCATAAGCATGGAGTGTTCAAGCATCTGTGAAACAAGTCCTGCCTCTCCCACCGCTCCATCAACTCTGCTGCACACTCTTAATCCTCTCAAGTGGGAAACGTAAGAAAGCATTGTGTGGATAGGCACCGCCAGCATCCCTCAGTGGTACATAACATAGCAACAGTGTGTGACAGGTTCTGCGAACTATAGCAACCAGGCAATCCACACATCCCTGCACACTAAGAAATTTAAGGAAAAAATGCTGAATTGTACATTTAGGTCAGCCTGCCACCTCCCCCAGCACTGTAACTACAACTGGATTCAAGTGCATCACCAATAGCTGTGTTGGCAGGCATGGTCACACTTTGCCTCCATTATTCCCTGAAGTACTTAGAGAAAGTCCCTTTCCAATGCGCCAGGGAAAATCCTGACGTTATACTTAACGAAAGTGGTTGCTTCCACGCTGAAGTGACAAATACCCACTCCCCAACAAATACAGTGACACGTATAAAAAGTGCTAAGTGATTGAACACAATGACACGTATACAAAGTGCTAAGTGACTGAGTCACTGCAAACAGACTTGTGGATGTCGGCCCCCAATCCCATCACACACCTAAGACCCAGTTCAAGAGTCGGACTGGCACCGCAGACCCCGAGGGCTCCGGTCCCAGAGCCACTACCATGAAATACACCAGCCTCAGTTTCTCTTCGTTCTTCTTTGTTGACGTGATTTTCTCACGGAAAACGTGGAAATCCATCGAGCAGCCAGACCAGGCCCAACATTCAGGTCTCACTACCCAAAATAGCCGTCTAGGGTGAGAGGCGCGTTTGGCAGCCAGTATTAGCACCCCCGTTCCCCGGCTACCAGTGAGAACCCGAAACACACGCAGGCTCCTCTCTGGTCCGCGCTTCAACACTCTGGATTTCTGAGCGCACAGAGCCCTGGACCCCGAAGCCGGCAGGACTCGCGTCCCTCTCCCCACTGCGGCCAGGTCAGCAGGGCAGGGACAGGGGCAGGGGCAGAGGCCGGGGCCTGGGTCGAGGTAAGGGGTCGAGGTGGAACTGCGGTCGGGAGCTAGGTGGGCAGCCGCCATCTTCCCGCTCGCGCC